TCAATTGCATAACAATAAAGGTACGAACAACTGTAATACTGTTACAATGAATCAAACAGTGGAAACAACTAACTGCAAGGAGTTTGTGTAAAACAAAAGTGATTTGGATGAATTTTGAGAAGATTATTTCCTATGAATATTGATCTGAGATGTGTTTCCCTTAAATTTTATACCAACTTTCTATACGATTATCCGTTTTCTTCTCACTGAGACTTGGCCATTGTTTTATTAGCTCTTTGGTATAATGTACAACAAATGTGTTTAGCAGAGAGTGAAGGCTCTGTGAAGGCATTTTGTGTTCAGGTGTGAGATCTTAAATAATAATCTAAACTTTAAAAATGAAATTTTAATTTAGTTTTCTTCACAGAAAATAGAAATGCAGAGATATAGACCTACTGTATATTTTACACCCCTAAATCAAGAAGGCCTCGCGTACCCACGTGAAGCTCTGGCGACCCCTAGAGGGGGTCAGGACCCCCAGGTTGGGAACCAGTAGATTATACTACACAACAGTATGTGACATTAAAATTAGCTTTGCTGTGAACAGCTACAATAAATAAATAAATAATCCTTTTACTTTTAATACTACAAGTAGATTAATCTGTGATTCTTACTTTTACTTCAGTAAATGTTTAATGCAGGACTTTTTAACTTTTTACTAGTTTTACTTTGGTAAAGGACTGAATATTTCTTCCACTGTTCTCCCTTTGTGTCTCTTTGACTCATCTCCAGTGATCTCATCTCCTCCACACCTTCACACTGCTGCTCCTCGTCACTTTGCTCCGTTTTCACAGTTGCATCAACACATTTTCTCCTCTTACATCTGCTTTAAACTAACACTTTTCCCTTCTGATTCCTCTCATGCCTCTCTGACACATCAGACTCTCCAACGGAACTGCACAGCCAACCTTTTTGACTTTTATTTACTTGTTTTGAATTTATCCTGCTTTTTATGTTTTATTCGTAGGGGTTGATTTAACAGACAATTACTTTTTTATTCTAATACTGAAAACGTTTTGGCTATCATTCCTGTACTTCTTTGGATTATTTTATTTCAAAGTAGGGATCAACTCACAATTGTTTTCATTCATCTGATTATTTTCTCAATTGTTTGTCTATAAAATGTCAGAAAAATGTTTTTGTCCAAATTCCAAAGATTCAAGATCATATGAGACAGAAAAGCAACCAATCAACACAATTCAACTCATCATTAAAAGCTTTTATGTTTTTATGTAAAATCACATTAGTACTTAAGTAAATGTACTTCCACCACTTACTGGCACAGATTTTTACAATTTAAATCCCTTTCCCTCTGTGCAGTGGAGCAGGAGCGTGACCTCCTGCAGCCTCGTCCCTACTGGAAGGAGTTTCGCTTCGATCTGACGCCCCTCCCTCAGGGTGAGACGGTGACGGCAGCAGAGTTTCGTATCTATAAGACCCTGACGATGGGCCAGAGGGCCAACCGAACCCTGCACATCTCTGTCTACGAGATCCAGCGAGAGAACAGACACAGGTTAGCTCAGATTTACATTTCCTTTCTTTGTTTTTATCTGCTTCTGTTAAGTGCTATATTAATAGTTTATTATTTAGTTTTGCTTAATAGAAGCCATTAGATATTTTATCTGATCCTTTTTGTTATTCCTGTCACATTTTTAATAATTAGGTGCTAAATAATTTGAGTTGAGGCTTTTGACAACGGCACCAAGATAACATTTTCCATTTTCATCACTCACACTTGTGCAATGCTTTTACACTTTATTCTCATCTCTTTCTGATGACAGCTGGCTGACTTGCAAACAAATCTTAGTACCGTTGATCTGACAGGAACTATGATTGTCTGATTTACAAAAAATGTAAGAGAAAGAAAGAAAAAGCAATTATTCTCCATGTGGAAGACTGAACCTTTCTTAGTGTTGAATGTTGCAACATTGGGGAGATCCAGTTTAAAGCTTTAAAGTATTTTTATGTTTTTGCCTTTTTTATGTTAAGAAGTACTCCAATTATTTATTGCACTTCCAAAACTTTGGGGAACATTATACAGCTGTTACAGGCTGAGTAGCACTCCCCATGAAGGGTGAACTGACCTGTATGTGTAAAAATTGAAAAATAAAAGCACTAGTATTATTTGACAACAGCTACACTGATAGTGGAGCCTCGTAATGAACCATCCTTCAAACAGGCTAACAGGGTTGAAGCAATGTTTGTGAATATTTATCCCAATAAAATATGATCAAGCAAAGCAATGAATCCCCAACGGCATCATTGTAAAAAAAAAAAAAAAAACAGCTTTAATTTTGATGGGGTGTAATATCCAATCCAATGTCCAATTCATACAATCACTTCAAAACATCTCACGTGTACCTTTGTTTCTGGAGCCAGCTAGAATCTTCTTGTAAATTAAAGTATTATGTATTTTATTGAGTGTGTTTTTTGTTTTGTTTTTGTATTTCAAAAGTTTCTGAGTAGGAGTAAAAGTGAAACATTTTTACGTTTATTTCTCTCTTCTCTCTGGATTAATTTCCCTTATTTTCTGTGTTTTCCCTCAGAGAGCCAGAGCTGGTGCTCCTAGACATGCAGTCAGTGCCTGCAGGACAGGAGGGGTGGTTGGCCTTCGACGTCACCACGGCCTCCAACCACTGGCTCCTCCACCCCCGCAGCAACCTGGGCATACGTCTCTACGTGGAGACAGAGGAGGGTGGGTGCACCACAGGACCATCATATTCTTCTTTACTTAACGTGATTTGCTGGGTAATTTCACATGGTTTATAAGTAGAAAAACAGTTGCCGGTACTGTAACTATTAAAATGTCTGTATCCTCCCGCAGACCGCTCCCTGTCTGCAGGCTGGATCGGGTTGGTGGGACGCAGGGGCCCTCGCTCCAAACAGCCCTTCATGGTGACGTTCTTCAGGGAGAGTCAGGTCCCGTGTCGGCCGCCACGAGCCGTCAAGTCACATCCCCGCAAGAAGAAACCCAAATACGACCTCCCAGTCCCCAGCATCCATAGTTAGGTTCCAGCCGCCCACACTTTGTGGGGTTACAGCTCTGAATTTGACGCTTCAATGTTTCTCCCTAATTGCTGTGTCTTTTTGGGGATTTATTTTCTCTGGTAAAATTGGGACATTTGCAAAATTCAAAAGCCAAATTCCTTCTCATAAAATCTATGAAGAAATTACACAGCTTTCCTAGTATGTGGATATTAATAATTAATTAAAAGTTAAATAAAATTGTGGTTTGTAAATATAAAACCTTAAAGTATAGGAATTGTAGTCTGAAAGTTAAGGGATTGCTTATATAATAGTCAATTATAAGGGGCAAATTGCTTATATTCCATCTGGAAACCTTTCACTTTCACACAAGTGAATTATTCACTGACTGTGATCTCTCTAAATGTTCTTTTCTTGTTCAGATCGGAGTCCTGCCAACAATGGAGGCGCTCCCTGTAAAAAACATGAACTCTACGTCAGCTTCAGTGACCTGGGATGGAAGGTCAGCTCACAATTTAACTTCTTTGATTCTTGATTTATTTTACAGTCCAGTTGTCATTACTGAGGCTTCAGATCAATTTAGTTCTTTTTGTTATTCTACATGACTATTGACTTCTTGCATACAAGATCAGCATCGTTTTTTAGAGAAGAAAAACATTGTCTGTTTTTTCTACACTGTATATTTAGTGGACTTATTTACTGGGGCTAAAATTGTTCCATCGTGTGATGGATACACATGGGTTAAACACTTACCTTAGTTGCTTTTGGGAAATCTGGGCTCTGATTGATAAGTTGTTCTTAAAGGTGGCAACCAAAGCAATGATAGAATGTAATCCAAAGCTTAGAAAAAGAATCTAGTAGAGTATTAGTATTAAAACTGTCCTGTAGATCTGTTTTCTGAAGTTATATGTGTATGTTGTACTATCAATTTAAAACTTCTACGTTTAACCAACTCTTATTTAAGAGTATTTTAAGTTAAAGTGAAGGATGTTACTGTTCACACTTTTCTGAATACAGGCACATGTCCTATTGGTAGTAACAATATTGATCCATCCTTATTTTATTTTATTATATGGTAGTGATTATATGAGAATTGCTTTTGCTCATCAACTGTGTTCCTGTGGTTGTGCTCAGGACTGGGTTTTGGCCCCCACTGGATATTCAGCTTACTACTGTGATGGAGAGTGTTTTTATCCTCTGGGCTCCTGCATGAACGCCACCAACCACGCCCTCATCCAGCAAGTGGTCAGTACAGCGATCTTTTTAACAACTGTTTGCTTGAAATGTGCGAGTATATATGATCAGTATCAGTGTGTTTCCATTTCATGCTATATCTCTACCAAATTTTAGAGGGAAATATTGTACTTTTTACTCCATTTAATTGATCTAACAGCAGTAGTTACTTATTAGATTTTACATACAACATATAAGATTTTAAAAATATCAGACATTGGTAGAGATTAAACCAGTGGTCACCAGTGGCTTTTGACCTCTTACACACTTGTGATTTAGCCTCTATAATTTTTATTTAAATTACTGTTTACATTTTTTACAAAAAGTCACTCAAATTTGTGTCCCAGAAACTTTATCTTGTGACCCTTTAGAGGGGCCCGACACCTAGATTGCTAACTGTATACAGTAGTAAAAACTAATGCCACCTCAATCGGCTGCAACTATAACATCTTACGTCAGTTTAAAATCTAATGTTTTTTTATATATAAATTAATTAGTATTTGCCACAGGGTGCAGTTTTCTTCAGAATGAGTACTTCTTCCACCACTGCTCGGTGTAGGACAAGGTTTAGGCTTTATCTAAATACTAACTGTATTCCACTCTGCCGTGGCAGGTTCACCTCCTGAAGCCTGACGAGGTTCCTAAGGCGTGTTGTGCCCCCACCAAGCTCAGCCCCATCTCCGTCCTCTTCTATGACGACAACAACAATGTCATCCTCAAGAAACACCGTAACATGGTGGTTAAGACCTGTGGGTGTCTATGAGAGTCAAAAAGGTTTTATTAGCCCAGACCAGTCCAAGTCCAAAACAATGTACATGGATGATTTTTCCCCCAGACATGAACTCTGCAGAAACCTTTAATGTTGGCAAACAGGCAGGATCAAAAGGAGTTATTAACAGGTCTGTGCTTATGTATTTGAGTGCTGATTTAGAATCAGTGACTTAATTGTCTTCATCAATATTACAAGTCAAACTTTACTGATTCCAAATCAGCTCTCTTTAGACATTTGTTTGTGTCCAAACTGTCAGCTGGTCAGAAATACTGGTGCGTATACACGAATATACCTTCAGCCTGAAATGTACGTTCATAAAACATCCATCACCACCGTTTTTTTCCTTTGCTTTTCCAGAAGTACAGTACTTATTTGCCAACTTTTCAAGAGTACAAATGTTATTTCAATACTTCAA